TGGAAAAATAATGAAAATATGCGTATGCCATTCATAATCTATGATACAGAATGGATAGATGAAAACGTTCAAACCATTTCGAATGAATTTTATCCTAATCTAGAAAATGCTCAACATAAATATCCTGATGTAATTGAATATGAACAAGTTCAAATAAGTTTACCACAACAATTAACAAATAAATCATTTGAAATCATTGATAATAATGAACAAGTAACATTTCTATCTGATGATTCCAATCTAAATCAACATCAACAACAAACAAATATTCATATTGATGAATTACCTTATCTAGAAAATCCGCTTTGTCCCACAACAATTTTCACATTAAATTACGCACATCATAAACAAAAACAAGATAAAATATTCTATAAAAATGATGATCAATTTTCTTCAATATCATCATTTCTTGATATGGAAATATTTTTAAATCATTTTGAAGAAAGTCTTGATCATGAACAACATTTACCATTGATCGATCAAATATCACTTTCATATACAGCATCATGTACTGGACAATATGAACGAAATAAACGTTCATTACCTATTGAATGGTTTCAGCCAACAATTCTTTCCTATGATGAACAACTTGTTGAACAATGGACTGTTATTAAAGATATCGATACTATTCAACAAGAAGGAACATTACGTCATCAACAATTAAAATTGATGACTAGTAATAGTGATTGTGCGAATATTCCTATTATAACAAATACAAATATATTTTGTGTTGAGAAAAATTTTGAAGAAGAAAATTGTAATAGTTCAATTTTAATTGATGAAAAAGATAATATTCGAATATTTGATAATATTAGTCATTATTCTTCAACAAGTGACTATGAAATAGATTCAGTTGATAAAGATAACGATACCGCTACCTATCTCATAAACGGCACTGTTATCATACCAACATCTCTAACAAATATTCTACCGTCCTCTTCCATTACAAACACAACAGCTCTTTCACAATCATCCCCACTTTTAACATCATCTACAGCGCCAATTGTACCCATTGTTTATTTTCTTGATGCATTAGCTATTGAACAAACCGATACAAATAATCCTACAAAAGAATTTTTATTAACAATTGGTTTTGGTCAAAACGAAAATAATTCTAGAATGAATGAAATAACAAATATTGTTTCAACTATTGATCAACCATCATTACCTACATGGATTAATCGTCCATCATCATCAGATAATATTATAATTTTACCAACTATAATTCATAATGAAAATCCATCGATTTCATCAATCGAAGAACAAAAACTTAATTTTGCTATTGAAAATCAAATTGATAATGATGATACAGCACTTTTATTACCTTCACATCGTATTCAACATGGTTATGATTTAGGTGAAAATACACAAGCACCATTGAAGTCATTTTTTGAACCATCATATTTACATTTACCTATAATCAATGAAATTTATATTTATCAAATGAGTTTTCATAATGAATTTTCACTTTTTCATCCACCAAATATCTTACCACATATGCTTGTTTCGAAAACTCATGACGATGAAATAATTTTACCAAATGAATATCAAATAAAACAATCGAAAATATTATCTTTTGCTCGAATAAATGATTTACTCGATAAAGAAGAATCTATTCAAACAATATTATGTACACTTAATCAACCAAGTTATATTGAACATTGTCATATTCAACCATTATATTCTTTTCCGGAAACATGTTTTGCTGAAATAAATCAAACAGAAATTATAAATAAAAATGATATCAATTTTTTATCAGATATTCTAACGGCATTTGTTAAAAATAAGGTAAAATATATATATATCAAAAATTATTGGCTCTAAAATGCATGTACATATAAATATATCTATTCAATCAATCAATATAGATTTTCTTTAAAAATTTAATCATATTTCAAAGTTTTTGCATGATCATATTTCTTGCTCTATATAACATAAATCAACACACTAATGCTTATAGTAATTGCACATATGTAATCTTCTAAGTAGCTCGATTATATTCATGTCAATTTTGATACATTATTTAAATATCTAGTTACACAACAATGTTCAATCTTAATCATATGATACTCGAAAAATTTTATCTATAGAGATTTGAAAAAGGAACAACCAATCATATATATTTTAAAATAAAACAATTAAAGGGATATACATATATACATATACATAGAAAGAAACGATACAATGAAACCTCATAAATACTAACATCATTATATTTCTTAACTGATTGACAGTATCCCGCTGTTCAATATGATGTCGAGACATAATCATCTTTCTTTCTTCGTTTTTTTGATATGCTCCTTCATCTTTTCAAAAAAAAGACTATTCAAATGAGAGAGTTGTATATGTACATATGCATACATGTATGAACGATAATGATCTTATTACTATATATGCTGTATTGAACGGTCTAATAACCTTGCTAGAATAATGATATACATATATATATATATATATGTAAAAGAATGAATATTACTATTAAAAAATTGAGAAGGTTATTCATAGGAATGAACAGTTACATATTAAGATATTAAAAAACTAAACAATTCTGATTAATATTCTTTATTTTTCTGATCTAGGATGATTACGAATTAAATCAATTTGATAAAATAGAACCCATGCAAAAAATTACTGATGATAATCAAGTAAAAATTAAATATGGCATATTAGATTCGCTTATAGCAACAACAACAACAACCACAACAACAGCTACAGAAGCAATGGTAGCAACAGTAGGAGGTAAGACTGAAAAAATAAGTTGTTTTTCTTATAAGTATAGCTGCAATGAAATTGTTGAAACCCTTGAATTATTTATATGTTAATGAAATATTTTCATCTCGATTTTTACTTTCCATATTAAAAAGAAATATAAATATTTGTCAATTATTTTCACCTTGAACAACAACTTTTGATTCAAAAGTTTTATTCTTTTATTTTTCTTTCTTCTAATCTGATTACTATAATTATTATTTCTTTAATGGTACTATTTCTATTAATACGGTATACATATCTATATATACATATATTACCTATTCATGCTGATCATATACATAATTTAAAGGAAGGTTGTTTCTTTATATGAGCGTAAAAGATTTCATCATGTTATTTATTATACTTGATTTATTCAGAATATATCCTATTGAAATAATCCCTTAAAATATGTTAGTTTTTTTTTCTATCGACAATAATATGACGTCGATTAAAAGCTAGGATTAAATTTCTGCGGTTGTAAAAAAATATAAGGGATTACATCATGTTGTTAAATACGATCGTATTTCACTATAGTAAATGAGAACATAACAACGATTGAAATCAAAATGTCAAATTATTTGTTGTTTTCGATTAAATTATTTTTTTAATAGTTTTTTTAAAAGAAAAAAAAACTAAAAGTGAAGGACAATTGTTTCATCAATATTATGAAATTTCAAGGTTTTTCACGTTCCATAATAGGATGAAGAATAAAAGAAAAGAAGTGGCTCAAATGACATGCATAAGAGGCAAGGCCATTGTGTGTATGACTACCTAATATATTTTCCTTGAAAAAGTCATATATATATATAAATATATATATATGCACGTATGAACAGATTGATAATTTTCTTTTTTTATTGTTCGTTACATTATATGTTGAACAAGGCTATTAGCAATAGGCTACTAATTAATAGATACGCAATATTTTGAAGGTGTTTTTTTTTACACGTTTTTCTTTTTTTTTCACTCGTTTCGTTTTCAACGACAACACCAAAATAAAATACACCTTTTGCATTTTAATATAATAGAAACACATCGATAATATATTTTAATAGGGTTGCTGGAGAGCATGAGTATTGCCATTGAGCCATGTTTGTATAAGAAACGGAACGGGTAATGCAATTCGATGAAGGAGAAAGAAGAAAAAAAAAGAAGAGAATCGGCATAATTTAAATGATTCGTGTATCGTCATTACAGCCTCTAGCAATATTTTGACGCTTGATGTGCGTCCGAGGAGAGACAGAGAAAGAGAGAGAGAGAAAAAAAGGGAGGGAGTGTGTGTGAGAAATGGAAAAAAGAAAAAAATGAAATGTAGATTCATTTCGATTATTGTGGTTGAGAGAAAAAAATATTGAACTTTGGCAAACATCACAAATATCATTTTTTCTTTTTTTTCCTTGTTATTAAATACCATAGGACGAAAAAGAGAAAGGTGATCAACCATCGTTCGGATTGTGGAAATGAAAAAGATATTCAATAATTCTTTTTCTTCTTATTATTCTTAACAAATATAACGTTGAATTATTATCAATAACAATAATTTTTATTCAACCGACATATATATATATATATATATTCCTTTCTTTGTATTTGTTATTGTAATGAAGTCTGATAAAACAAGTGATTTTTATTACAATATAATCTTTATTTCATCTTGCTCCTCGACAACGATGAGCAACGTCTGTTAGTTATTCTCCTACTTATATATTCATCCTTTTTTCACGCAAGAACTAAAAAAAATCTAAATGTCTGTTACACTCGTACTACTGTTATAAATCCTCTCATTTCTTCTCCATCGATACACACACACATACGCATACTCGTATTTTTTTTTGGTTAAATTATGAATACATCATCGGCGAAGAAAACCATTGAATTAGAAGCCAATGCTACAGTACCTCGTGGAGCTTCAATTAAATTAACTGTTGAATATCGAAGTAAGACGAATTAAATAAAGACATTAGCTTATTAATTTCAGATGAAGACAGAGATAGTTAGATTGTATGGCTTCTATTAAATCAAATTTTAAATTTTTTTTTGTTTAGTTCGTCCACCAGTTTCAACTGAATCCGGTCCGATCTATGAAGATGTCTCCTTTGAAAAACATGTTGATGTTAACATGGGTACAAATGGTCAATATAAAGAGCAAGCGAAATATAGATATGAAAATGAAACAGATATTTCAACCAAAGAAACAACTCATGATACTGTACAAACAATATTAAAGCCAAGTCATATACCTAAACCAGATGATATGATACTTGTACCTGAGACAATTATTGAACATATAAGTGAAGATGAAAAATCAATAACAAGTGAAGAAGTTGTTTTTGAAGAATGGAGTGAAGAATTTCGTTGTCGTCGTACAGATGAATATGATCCAAAGACAAAGGAATTAATACGATCAACAATTGATGAAACAAGTGATCGTATTAAAGGTGATGTAGTTAAAGAAGAATATAAAGAAAAAAATGTTCGTATTAAAGGACATAAAAGTTATGATGTTGTTAAACAAATTCATCGACGTGTACCAGCTAATACATTAGTACCTATTAATCAAGTACAAACTCATGTTCATGAGGAGATTTCATCATCTCCTCCACCTATTACTTCTTCTATAATTAAACCAATGACGACAACAACCACGTCGTCGTCATTACAAGATCAGCAATGGTCAACTGAAGAAGTTTATACAACAGATATTGTACAAGAATCATATAGTACTAATAATAGTGGAAGAAATACACCAAAAATTGATACATCAACATCAAATAATTTTAATCATGTACGTACTGGTCGATATTCACCAGTACCAGCAACAACTCGAGCTAATATTTCAACAACACCAACAGCAGATTATAATTATATATCCGAAGCGATTTCTCCAACATTTAAATTTGCTGATAAACGAAAAGAAGAATTTGTTAGTGAAGAATATCATATTGAAATTGAAACAACCAAAGATCAAAATGAAACTAATGGTCAAATATCTCCATTAAGACGAAGTTCAGATTGGAGAAATGAACTTAAACAAATGTATTCTTCTGATAGCAATCGTTATGATCAGGTAAACTTAAGCAAAAAGTCTTTTTTTCTTCTTTTTTTTTCAAAATATATATCCTAAATAATAAAAATATGAGTGAGGAAAAAAACAAACCCTATTCCCTATAGTATGAAAAACAAATCAATGGAAATTATATACCATACAATAATCAACAACGTGTTAAAGAAGTTCAAATCAAAATTTCTGCACATCATAGAACACCATCTGAACCACGAAAATATGAACCATATCTTTCATCAAAACATACTGTTAAAGAGGTTCTTGTTCGTGTACCACAATATCATCGTTCATTACTTGATGATTATAAACAAAAACAGAAAAAAAATTTGTATTTTGTAAGTTAGAGAATGAGATAACAAATTGTATTATTGCACGTGTGCATGAGTATTTTAGTTTTTATTTGACATACATACTAACGTTGTTATTTTTGTTTGCTCTTTTATATATTAATTAAATTCTGATTGTTTAGTTTGAAACTCAAAAAAAACTTCCTTCAACATCAACATCATTTGAAAATGATCGTTTACAACCATCAAAACGTTCGTATTCATCATCATCAATTCTTGATGATAATCGAACACAATCAATTCAAACTGATCGACCAACATTAAGTCGTGTTGGTGTATTAAAAAATACATTTCAATCAAGTACAAATGAACATACAAAAGATGATACATCGAAATATTTAGGTGCTATTTCAGCTGGTTTAACAGAACAACGAAGAAAAATATTTGAAGAACAAGAACAAGCAAATAAGGAATGGAATCGACGACCAGTAAGATTTACAATGTGTTTCTTTTTCTAAATTGCTTGAGGGAATCAATAGTTTTTGCATCTATAAAATTCGCTTTTTTTTACTTTATATTAAGAGGGGTAATTTTTCTTTCTAACATAAACACTTTATTTAAATGATAAACAAATACTCATCAGTAATGTAAATATCAAATTTCAGGTAAGATACTGTTTTTAGTTATAGTATATTTTATGATGTTGAACAAAATTTTGAATACGAGATTATCATGTTCTTTGGTTAACTATTCATTATTGATAAGGTTCATCAAAATTATTCAGTCTGTTTTCAATTAACATAGAGATGTCAGTTAATTTGTAATAGACTTCTTTTTTTCTTCTGTATTATTAACCTCTAACATATACGGTGTACTGAAATAATTAATTTCTCGTCTAGTCATGTCATTTCGATTATCATAATTTCCTTGTCTCTCGCTCTCTCTTATCGAGACAACCTTCAGTTCTTTACCGGAAAATCATTATGAATATTTACATGCGAAAAAAAAGAAATATACATTTCATAACAAATAGATTGCATAAACATCTTCAATTTCTCGCAAATAAAAATAATCTATCTGAACTTCAACCAAGAATACATAAATTATTTCAAGAAATCAATTATCACAAAAATAATTGAATTGTTAGAAACTCTCCAACACTTTACTTTAACAGACTATAGATTTATTAACGTTAATAATAAGAAACTTCGATATTAAATATTGAAATCAACTGATTTTAGCCCAGCGGACACGGTCAAGTAAAGTGAACTCCAAATTTTAGCTTGTAACTGTGCGCTTCTTTTCCCTGTGCATCACCAGTCGACTCAGCACAGTCCAGAGTATCTATTAGAGCGATCAAAAACAGATGATTACAGTTTTTAAGTAGATTATTTCGCGGAAACTCAGATATCCATAAACTCCAGTTTTGAAACACACTTAACTTGACCAGCGGACACTCACCACACTGGCAAGAACTCAGTGGATGTTCAACAAACTGGAGAATGTCCACTGTGTTTTCGCCAATACACCTAATAAACAGAGAAATTTGAAAATTCCTGTAGAATAAGAGTCGTAATATACAACATCATAGAACAGGATAAAATGATATATTATATTATTATTAATTAGATTAATGGATATCAATCGAATGAATATCGTACGAATGAAACTCATACAGGACCATCTCTTGTTAGTAATCGTATATCTCGTTTTGAAAATATTGAAGCAAAAGAAATATCACGTGTACAATCAACTGAACGTCTTGGTCGAGCAGGAATTGATGCTATTAAATTATCTCTTGAATCTTCCATATCAAAAGCATCACCACAAACATCATTTGATGTCAAAATGAATAATAATAAACAAATAATATCATCGATTGATTCAGATTTTATGGGACCATCTCAACCTATTTATCAAAGTACACCCAAATCAATAAAACAAACATATCATGAAGATCAAGGTCGTGATAGTGAAGATGAATTAAGTGAACCAAAACAAAATTATGATGCACAACAACAACAACATATGTCAAAAATACGTTTACGAGATTTTTCACAAAGTACATCACCTTCATTGGATACAACACATCTTATCGAACGAACAAGATTTAATGAAAAAAGTATGGAAAACATTTTATCACATGTACCAGCAAGCCGAGGTTTATTTTTTTCTTCTAATTTTTTTTACTGACTGTGATTTTTTCTTAGGTAAAGGTGTTTTAATTGAACTTTCACCAACAACATATCAAACTCAAACAAAATCAGTTTATGAAAGAAATAAACCAGATATTACTTTAGATTCTGGTGTATTCGATCGTACAACAACAACAACAACTTATCAATTACCAACTAGTCCAGCTTCATGGCGTAATAATGTATCAACATCGATTAATGATGATGGTCTTCATACGAATAATAATAGTATTTATATTGCAACAGCAGCGACAAGATCAAATTCACCTTATCCTCAACGACCAATAACTGATACAGATGATTCTTTAACACGATCAACATATAAATATAATAGTGAAATGTTTTCAAATGAACCAAGAAATCAACAACAACAACAACAACGAAATGTTCGTCGACAAGTAACACAATCAGCAAAAACTGATTATGAAAATCCAATGAATTATCGAAATAATTTCGATACACAAACAAAAGTTCCTCTAACAACTCAATCACGTTCAGTAAAACCATATGTTGTTGATGAAATTGAAACAATTGAAACTGAAACACAAGTTGAATGTCAAGTACAACGTACACATGAAACAAATGAATCAACAAAAACTGAACGAGCAGCTAGTCCAATACATTCACCAAATAAAATACGTAGTAAATCATCATATAATTTATCGGACGAAAGAACACCAGCAAAACGTGTTTATATACAAGAACGACCACAATATTATGAATCAACAAGATTTAATCGTAAGATTTTTGTTTTTTTTATTCTCATTCATTATTTATTGCTTTCAGGTTCATTAGTACAAAATGAAGAAGATATAACAAATCGACCATCACGTTTAAATTCTCAAACATATCGAACTAATCCAAATGGTTTACAACTTACATCATTAAGTTCTCAAACTCATGTTACATTTGATCAAAATCCATCAAATGAAATCATTGCTACTGTTCGTATACCTGAACTTTCAAATAATAGAACAATACGTCATGATAGGAGTAAATCCGAAGATGATTTATATCAAAATATAAATGGAACAGGTTATCGATCTTCACCAACAATTCAAAGTTATCAACAACAACTTCGATCACGAGTTGGTAAGTTAATAAAAAGAATAATTTCGATTTATTAATATTTATTATTTCAGAAAATATAGGTTAAAATTTTTTTTCTTTCTTATCTGGTTGCAAATAGAATATTTAAGCTTTCGGGGAATACTAATTTTTCAGAAATGAGATTTTTGGTTTTTCTAAAAGTTTGATTCATTTTAGGTGCAACTGAAAGTACAAATAATCGTTCATCACCATTAAATTATTCAACACAACCAACATCATCATCATCATATCAATCAACTTCATACGATCAAAACCGACAACAAAAACAACGATCCTATTCTCCTGATCCAGGCTTAACACTTCGTTCTCAAACACAATATCATTCTCGCAGTCTTGGTAATTTAGATTTTGAAATTGAAATTGAAAAACGTCCACCACATGAATCTGAACAACCCACTGTTGTTTCACTTGATCAAAGTTCACGTGCAATTGTAACAACATCAAAAGATGGTCGTGTTTCTATACAAAATATTGCGGCACGTCCAGGAAATACGGTTGTGATAAATAGTGATTTTCATGCATCAGATCGTTCATTAAATCGTTCATCAGGTTATTTCAGTTCTGATGAAATACGTTCACAAGGTCATAATACAAATTATTCAAGTGATGAACAATCGAGTGGAATTAATTTAAATTCACAATCACCATCACAACGTAGACAACGTAATAAATCCAATGATAAATCTTATCATTTTGATCGACTGAATAATATCGTTAATCAATATTCTCAATCATCAAATACTTCACTTGGTTTTAATGAAACTATTGATCAAATTGATGCATTATATCATAATCTTGATGTTGAAACTGCTGATCGATCATATGATTTTTCTAAATCTAATAGTCGCAAACAAATTGAATTAAATCCAAATGAATATCCACAACGGTTAACATCAGTAGGATTTCAACATATACCATATGAACATCAAACATCATCTACTGTCAATGCTAATGTTAATAACAATAATAATAATAATAATCAAAAATGGACTTCATCATCAATAAATAATATTCTTACATCAACACCAATTCGACCAACACAATCTTCATCTGGAGGTTTTAGTACACCAAATTCAAAATATAGTTCAATACAAAATATGATTTTACATCAGAATCGTTTCAATCCACAATCACAAATAGTTCAACGTAATCGAGCATCAGTTAAACAAGTTAAACAAAAAAATGCTGCAAGAAAACGAAATACACAAGAGTAAAATCTATTTTCATTTCAAAATACAAAATTTTTCATTTTTCTTTTCTTTTCTAGACCATATAGTGATGATGATGATGATAATGATTTATCATTACGAATTAATGCTAGTTTACATCAACGTCCACAATCGAGTTCTCGATCTTATACTTATAATAATTAACAACATACATATTTGAAAATCAAAATAATAATTAAGATTAGAATTACAGTAGTGTATGTGATGTATGTCAGATGGTTTTCATTTTTTTGGTATTGTGTTTGCATGTGAATGAACGTCAACTGAATGATTCTTTCGTGTGTGTACAACTTTAATTATATAGTTATTGATTATAAGAAGTCGATTTTCTCTTTCTTTTTTATTTTCTTCTTCTCAGGAGAAATTCCATAATCATTTTCACTCACAAGACTATTCAGTATAACCGATATTCTTTATTATTTTACGATAAATCTTTCTTCTTCCACTAATTTAATATACAATATGAAGAAGCAAACAATATTAGACTAGATTGTTTTTTTTTATTTGGTCTATTATTATCTGCCACTATTTTTTTTGTCTGTCTCTTCATTTTTTTTTTATTATTATTATTAATTTATATATACATATATAAAAGAGCCATTTAAGTAGCTTATTCGTTTTTTTTCTCTTTCTCTCTCTCTCTCTCTCTCTTCATATTACTTCAAAAGAAGCATACAGACAGTTGTCACTTCTGTTGTTGTGTTTTGAATCGTGTGAATCTTGTTTGGTATGATTATCTAATTCTTCTGTTCATAAATTGCTCTTTTTTTTGCTTGTTTGTCTCATATAATATTCATTCGTAATTAAACTATTTTTTTCTACAATAAATATAAATTATACTTGCAAGAATTAATTTACTTATTGATGCATTAAAACAAGACAAATATTGACTGTATATCAAACAGAGAAAAAAAACGATTATAATTTAAGGGATCGTATTTAAACATGAATCATTCCAGGTAGCGTTAGATCTCTTGATAATCATCAATCAGGATTATATATTATCCTAATATTTGTCTTCGTGTTTTAATAATTGTTGCTTTACGGAAGATCAAGTTATCTTTACTGACTTTTTACGGACTATATCAGAAGCTGAGAAGTCAGTAGAATCAGTACTTGTTTTATGATTATTGTCTATGGATTTAAATATCATAGAACTTTAAATGAACAAGAAGCATTCCTAATTTCGATTGACTTCTAAATAACTTCCCGTAAGTATGAAAATGGCTTTCATGATTGATAGACAATTTTAAGCACATGCTTTATATGACTGGAATACATTGGAGTCAGCTGGATTTTAATTTTCTGCATATTGTTTTTCTTTTTGTTTAATGTATTGCATTCTCTTTCGATGTTATTGTCAATATGTTAACTATTTGTATTGTTTTACTGAATATATGCGCGTTTTCCCTCGAATATTATATTTGGAAAAATCAATTCATTTTTTTTAATATTCTTAAATCTATAGGTGACATCTTAGGGATCTACAGTTCATTGGTCTATTCATTTTTCTATAGTAATATTCTCATTCATAATATATATGTACATAAGATTTTGCATAGAGTATTAATACTCATTTTTTCTTAGTAGTCATTTATGTCAAATGATTTATTGAACAAAGAAAAGGCCTTGCTTATTATCATAATATAATACAAACGAATGAGAAAGAAAATGAATGATTTATGCCATTCGTTTTATCGTCACAGTTGATTTCACATATTTTTGTTCTTTATGTATGATAATATTATATCATGAATACAATATTATTTCTGGTTACTTAAATTTTAGATCTACTTCGAAAATAAGTATGAGCACTAGCCATTCCGACATCTTACCAAGTCATATAAGTAAGATTTTCTTACGTAAATATCATAAACAAAAAAAATTTGTTTTAGCCCATGATATTTCCAATATTCGTTTAAATAAACCACAATTACGAATTTGTTGTATTGGTAAAGAAAATCTTTTCTAATAAATTAAAAAATTATTTGACAAAAATAATTTCTCTTAGGTGCTGGATATGTTGGAGGTCCAACTTGTGCAATAATTGCTAGTAAATGTCCTAATATTCAAGTAACTGTAGTTGATATAAGTTCTGAACGTATAGCTGGTTGGAATTCCGATGCTCTACCAATATTTGAAGTAAACTATTTATTATTATTCTTTAGTATGAATTTTGTTTTTCTAGCCAGGATTAGATGAAATTGTTCGAAAAATTCGTAATAGAAATTTATTTTTCTCAACTGATATAGAAAAATCAATACAAGAAGCTGATCTAATTTTTATTAGTGTTCATACACCTACAAAATCTTATGGTTTCGGTACTGTCAGTTGAATAATTGACTATTAACATATATATAAATTTAAAAGTTTACTTTTTTTACATAGGGACGAGCTGCTGATTTACGATATGTTGAAGAAGCTGCTCGACAAATCGCTCATATATCCAAAACAGATAAAATTGTTGTTGAAAAATCTACAGTGCCGGTAAAAGCATGTGAATCAATAAAAACAATATTGAAAACTAATAAACATCGTGGTGTTAATTATCAAGTTCTTTCTAATCCAGAATTTCTAGCTGAAGGTTCAGCTATTCATGATCTATTAGCACCGGATCGTGTTTTAATTGGTGGTGATGAAACTGTTGAAGGTTCATTAGCAATTAAAAAACTTTCATGGATCTATGAACATTGGGTACCAAAAGAAAAAATTCTTACAACAAATACATGGTCATCAGAATTATCGAAATTAGTAGCTAATGCATTTTTAGCACAACGTATATCAAGTATTAATACAATATCAGCAGTTTGTGAAGCAACAGGTGCATCTGTAAGTGAAGTCGCAAAAGCTGTTGGACTTGATTCACGTATTGGAAATAAATTTCTTAATGCTAGTATAGGTAAGAAGAATAATTTTCTTTTTGTTTTTTTTAAATATTATTGTATTATTTACAAAAAGGTTTTGGTGGTAGTTGTTTTCAAAAAGATATCTATAATTTAATTTATTTGGCTGAATCATTAAAACTTGAACCAGTTGCACAATATTGGCTACAAGTTATTAAAATTAATGATTGGCAACGTGAACGTTTTGCACAAATGATTGTTCAGAATTTATTTGGAAGTGTTAGTGGGAAAAAAATAGCTATTTTTGGTTTTGCTTTTAAAAAAGATACTGCGGATACTCGGTAATTATTTTCCATTGAAGTACACAACCATTTATTTTACTTTTTAAGAGAATCATCGAGTATTTATGTGTGTCGATATTTAATAGATGAAGGTGCATCATTACATATTTATGATCCAAAAGTATCATCAGATAGAATTTATCTTGATTTATCGGAACAAACGGGTTCAACTGAAAGAGATTGTAAGAGAATATTTTGAGAAATACTCATAAATATAATTTAACTTTAGTAAATGATCATGTTCAAATTGCGAATGAACCATATGAAGCAGCGAAAGATTCTCATGCAATTGTTGTTTGTACTGAATGGGATGAATTTGCAGTAAGTTTATACTTATTTGTTTACCTTTATTTATTTAATTTTGCCTTTTTAGAAATTAGATTATGAATTAATCTATAGTACAATGCAAAAACCATCGTTTATATTCGATGGACGACTTGTACTTGATCATGATCATTTAATGAGTATTGGTTTTAATGTATTTTGTATTGGAAAAAAACCACCGAAAAATCAATTTACAAATCAAAGTCCACTGTGAAATCTCAGTTACATTTTTGATATACACCGTTTTCCTTTTTCTCATCTATAATCGCTTTAATCTCTTACAATGGAAATTTTACTAATTGCATTTTTATTATATCATGTGATAATATTTAACTTTCATTATATATTAATAAACTGAATTTTTATTTAAGATATATGCAAAACAATTGATTAGTTTCTATTATATTTCCAGGTTGAAATAGGAGATCTAATCTAGTGGCGTAGCCAGAGTATGGCATGGGTAGGCGCCGCTTACACACCAGACCCATTCGCCCGCTCACCGGTCATTTGAAAAACCGGCTTTTCCATATATAGTATTTTGGAAATCGGTAGAGCGGCGCCAACCCATCCGTCAATTTCTGGTTACGCCACTAGTCTAATCGAATCAGATTTTTTTGTACTTCATTGAATCCATTCTTCCCTATTCATCTTTGAGAGTGTGGGTAGGTGTTGAGGGTTCATCCTCTCGCACACCGATACCCACACCCTCAAGATTTATGAGAATATTCTATTATTGAAGATAAGATCTGTTTTCTTTCAGATATGATATCTAAAATAGTCCGACCGTTGATGAATGAAATCTTTTATTTGGGTACACGTAGTCCAATATTAGCATATAAAAAAATTGAAACACTTCTTCAACAATATAATACGAGTGCTAAACATGATAAAATAGCTATTCTTGATCATATTGCAAAAGCTTATCATCCAGATCAAGAAGAAGTTACATCGCAGGTTTTCTTTTTTCCCAAAAGAATCAATCGATTTCATTGTCTTGTTTCATAGTAGATTCAACGAATGACATCATCAGATTTTATTAAAAACTGTGAACGAATTCATACATGTTCAGAACCAAAATATGCACAATTATTTCGTCTTATTGGACGACAACCTGATGGTGTTCGTTCACTTGTTCATCTCCGTGCTGATTTACTAAGATTTCTTCCTGAAATGGGTTTGAATCAAAATTCTTTTTTATGTTCGTTATTATTTCTATGTATATAGTAAATAATTTTAGACTCACCAGATTATGCTAAACGAATGAGTGATAATCTTCAAGATTTACTTGCAACTTGGTTTACAACAGGTTTACTTAAAGTTGAACGTATTACATGGCAGAGTCCTTGTGAAATTGGTAAAATTTAGATAGTTAAATACGAAATATTTTAATACTAATAATAGTTCAACGTATATCTGAATATGAAGCAGTACATCCTATTCGAACATGGACAGATTTAAAACAACGTTTAGGACCTTATCGGTAAAATAAAATAAAATATTATCCTATAATATGTTTTTTGTAATTATTTAGTCGATGTTTTGCTTATACTCATCATATGATGCCAAATGATCCTTTAGTTATTTTACATGTTGCATTAATGGATGATATATCTGATTCAATTCAAACTAGTTAATATATTTAATTTAATTATATATATAAAAATAAATTTCTCTGTATAGTTTTAAAACGAGTTTCTCCTACATCGAATAAATCTGAAGAAATTCAAAAGGAAAATGAATCATTAATTAATTCAGCAATTTTTTACTCAATTTCTTCAACACAAGCTGGTAAGTTCTAACAGAATACATTTTCAAAAGAAATAAACTATCTTGATTTATATATAGGTCTTAAAGGTATTGAATTGGGTAATTCATTAATTAAACGTTGTGTTCGACAATTACAAGTCGAACATCCACAATTAGAAAAATTCTCATCACTTTCTCCAATACCTGGTAAAACCTACTAATCAAGAATTTTTTTTCTAAATATATCTTTTCATTTAGATTTTCGTAAATGGCTTATGGAAGAATTAAATTCTTCTTCAACGTCATTAATTTCCTCTGAAACTCGTTCATGGCTTAATTCATTTCTAACATCAACAACAACTTGGCATTTAGATGAAGAAATTCTGAATAAAATTCAACCAATTTTAATGCATCTTTGTGCATATTATTTAACTCAAATTAAACATCCTCGTACAGGTTATGCACGTGATCCTGTTGCGAATTTTCATTTACGTAATGGTGCAGTTATTTGGCGATTAAATTGGTTAGCTGATCGTAGTCAACGAGGCTGGAAACAATCTTTATCAATTATGGTTAATTATCGTTATTATGATTTCGTTAAAATTGATCAGAATAGTATTGATTATATTGATAAAAAAACAATACAAATTGATGAACAAGTTTCAAAATTACTTTAAATTCGATTTCTATTTTTAAAATGTACTTTTCATATTATTTACTTGATTAAATCGTAAAATCCCGGTATCAGTTGAAAATTTTATTATTTGTTTTTTATCAAATCCACATTGACATGTACAACTAAGTGCATAATGTGGTTTAATAAGTAGTTGAATCATATTTGGATAGAATTTTTCATCAGGTAGAAATCTTTGTTTTTCTCCATAACATTGACAATTACAATCAAGAAAATTAAGTTTAACTGGTAATTGTTCAGTTTCATAACTACCATCAGTTGTGTTATTAATATTTTTTGACATAAATTTTATACAAAACAAAAATAAATTAAACGCGCATTTATTTGGAATTTCAAAATAATGAAGCTATTTAGTTTCCATAGTTCAACAAGTAGACATTCATAAGACACTTTCTATTATCACATTGAAAGAATACTATAGAGTGCATGTGAGAGATAATTATAATATCTATATTCACTTCGTCAAGACACTTTACTAATCAGACAACAAAAGAATGTGGGTGGGTGATATAGACATGATACACCCACATCCAGATGAAGGCGCTAGGACAAAACGAATTGGTAGTAAAACTTTGATATTGAATAGTGCATGTATGTGAAATGTGGATAATGCTTAGTTACAATTTAATGAAGGCAGGGTTTATGTGGATAGATAAAAGTCTATCGGTGAACTTATAACAGTCGAATTGACATTTACTTATTTTTTCTAGTCTCTGTTAGACATGGGTTCAAACAAATTTGAATATGTTCAATTTATCTCATTTAATCTGCATTATTCGGCTTATAGATACTTGTCTTTGATGATCAAATAAAACGATCTATTGAATATTTCTTAATGATTCAAAACAAAAATAAGAAATAGTTCAATATTTTTTTCTTATCTAGATTATTAACATTTCCGAAATTTATTTCCTGACATTATCTACGATTACTTTATTATACTAATTTATATTCACAATAAAATCATATGTCGCATGCTTATTTTTCATCATATATAGACAAAAATGATCTAAAATATTTAAGTGCATGTCTATCCGTAATAATGAAATAATATTTTTTTCTATTAGATTTAATAATACTCGAATTTATTTTTCTCTATTCTTTAATGAAACAAATGTTAAGAATATACTCGAAATAATTTATATTTTTTTAACAGAAAAAAAAAATATACAGATTTTAATAATAGTCAAACTGTTTGTTCTTTTTAATATAAAATAATTATGTAAAATACACTATTTGTTCTTCTTCTTTTCTCTATGGTATTTATAATTATTCTTTCATGATTCTATTCTAAAATGTATTTTTCATTAGCGTTGATGTAGAAGTAATAAGTTCTTCGGAATATTAATAAAACTTAGTAGATCATCTCGTTGCTCGTTTTCTTTTTGATAAAGATTCAATCTTCACAAAATGAGAAATTCTATCTTAATCTAATCATCATCAATTTTTCTATTCGAATACAAAATAGTCTGTTGCTTTTTATTTTGTGATACATATAAATTGTATGAAAAAAATTTCATTAAAAATAAGAAATCTACTTGATTAATAACAATAAATATATGATATATACAAATAATATTTTTAAATTAGGTTTTAAAATATTTGAATCATCATAATTACATAGATCTCGATCTCCACAACATGTAGCACAACTCCAACTACGACCTTCATCATTTGGTCGACATGGTGCTATTGAATGAGTATAATTTAATTGTTTTTCACATGCTTTACGTTTTGTACAGTATTTTGTAATTAATAATTGATTAAGAATAGCTATATAAAAAAAGAATTAGCGTATGTATTTATATATGAAAGAAATTTTACCAGGTCTTTGTACAATTGTTAGACATGTATCAAATGTTGGTTGACATTCAGTTGCATATGTTGAATTTTTAGAATTACATTCTTCATTAGTATATCTCATTGAACATTGATAACAAGAAAGTCCTTCGGTTTCTAATAAATTATGAATATAAAAAAACGAAAGAAATTTATTTTCAAAAATCTATTTCGGTTACTTTGAAGATTAATAATTAATAATAAGACAAAAATTAAAGACCACATTCATTCTGTATTTGATCAAGAATAGAAAACTATGAAAGATCGATTGTGATATAATGATATGCACTTGCATCAAGAATAGCACTTCCTCATTTCTTTCTCTCTGTCTCTTTCTAGAAAAAGATAAGCTAACATTAGCTCCTTTTTTTTCCTACAACAAGCACAGTCATCTTAATCCAATCTCTCGAGAACTAACTCAGCGGAAAAAAAAGACGTTCGTCTTAACGTTTCTCTTCTTATATATATATATATATATATATATTTCTATGTATCTTTCTTGATCGTCATCTGATGAAGCAGTCACAACAACAACAACAACAAGGAGCCGGAAATCAGCTCATTGCACAGTCATATTGCTTGCTTGTAGGCATAGACATTCGATTCCTTTCCGGTATTGTCAGATGGTATAGAAGAAAAAAAGACAATCTATCGATCTTGATAGTCACAAAATAGAATCAGAAGAAGAACTCATTGATTCTAATACAACTAAATTGTTCATTCTCTAATATAACCATGTCTTGCTTTTTCTTTTGTATACATTTATATATATATATGTGAGAATTGAGCAAAAAAAGAAAAGAATAATAAGAAGAAACATAAAGATCTACAGATAGTAGTCTAACCATGTGAGATAAAAGAGAAATGGCACCGAGAACAAAACAAAACAAAACAAAAAAGTCGAAAAGAAAAAGATGTATACATTGTTGCCATTAAAAAGTGAATTATGCTAGTTTAACATTGTACAACACTTGGATAATCGCATCGATCATTTAATGTATTAAACAAAAGGCCAGGTGGACAACTACGACTATAAAGTATTCCATTTGGTAAATTTAAATCAACTAAAAAATAAAATCAAGTTTAGATTTTCAATTTATTTATTTATTTAACTTACATTGTCCAAAATATACACATTCAAAATAACGTCCTTGTTTGCAATTTGATACATCAGTAAATCGACCATTACCTTGACAACGGAAATATTCTAAAACAAAGATCATAATTATTTGCATAAAACTATACATAATTCAATTATTTATACCTGTTTCGCATCGTTGACCAGAATAACCTGGTTTACACACACAAATCATATTCGAACCTTGTTCTTGACATTTACCACCATTTTGACATGATAATTGACTACAACTTGATTGACCAGATTTCGGACGAGCAGCTAAAGAGAAAATTGAATTTACTAAATTTGATTTCTATTCTAAAATTTACTAATTGATATTTCGCACAATGGTCCGGTAAATCCATTTACACATTGACAAAGTTGGCTACCAACTGAATTTGTATAACATTTACCTCCATTACGACAAAGACATTCATTTGATGATGATGATGATGAAGTATTACATTGTGGTCGAAATATTCGATCAGGACAAAAACATGCATATGCATTAACAAGATCATAACATGTTCCACCACCCATACTAAACGAAAACAATTACCATTATTCATAGAATCTAACCAAAAAAATATATTACCAAGGATTTGACGCACATTCATTAATATCTAATAGAAAAAAAAAGATTGTATAACAAAATAATATTTGAAATTTAATACTCAACTGCTTTCACAATATGCACCCGTGTAACCTTCACGACAACGACAAGTATTTACACCTGTATCAGTTAATATACATTGTCCACCATTACAAACATCTTTTTCTATTGGATTACATGTTGCAACCGGAGAAATTATATTTATACTCGCTCCACCACGATATTTTACATTACTACTCGTTGTCGATGAATCTATTGGAGTTGTAGATTGTATTAAGAGAGGCGGTATAGTAAAATTATTTTGTGTTGAATCTAGAATTTATTTTTATAAACAGATTATGAAATGAAATTTAATATTAACATACTCGTAGTTGAATTACATGAAAGATTAAGTGTACCATCGGGACATATACATACATAGGAATCTCCTTTTTGATTTAATTGATAACAAATACCAACAGTACATGGATTTGATGAACAACCTGAACTTGTTACATGAACTAAATAATATATATTGATTTATGTTTAAATGAGATGTATTTTTATTACCATCGCAATTTACTCCTATATATCCTTCGTAACATTGACATCGATAACCAGATTTCTCTGATAAACAACGTCCATTATCTTTACATGGATTTGATGAACAAAAATCAACTTCTAGAAAAAAAATAATTTTTCTTCTAATCTATTCTTAAGAATAAAAATAAACCTTGTTCACAACGTAAACCAGTAAAATTCGGTGGACCTTAAATATATAAATCAAATTATTTAAATTTAATTTTTCTAAATATTTTATTTACATTGACAACAAGTTGAACCAATTTGATCAATACTACACGATGGTTCATCAGATGAAAATGGTACACATATACCACCATTTTTACAAGTCATATGTGTACAAAATGAACTTGTTGCTATATTAAATACTTAAAATAAGATTGCATCAAATAAAAATTCTTACTTGGACATGTATCAATAGTTGTATAAGATACACCATCAACTTGACACATACACATATATCCTTTCGGTGCTGCTTCTAATGCTAAACATCGTCCTTGTGCCCCACAAGGCATTGTTATACATGGATCTAGAGAAAAAAAAGATATTTACTTTTTGAACAAAAATAAACTTCATAATTTACTTGTTGGTACAGAACAATTTGTCATTTGAATAGTACCATCGAAACATCGACATATATAACCATTGAGTAAATTCGTAGTTATCTCACATTCTCCTGGTCCACATGGATTAGGTAGACATGGATCTTAAACAGAAAATAATTATTGGGTTTTTCTTTTCTGTAACTTAATTTACTTGGATCAGCACATTTAAACATTGTATTTTGTCCATCGGAACATTGACAATAGTAAGGTATTTGTGCTTGATTAGTTGCAATACATTTTCCAAGTGAACCACATGGTGATGATTGACATGGATCTGATATTTAGGGAGAAAAACAAAACAATTTTTATTCTCTTATTATAATTCAAATCAACCTACTCTTCGCTTCTGTACATAAAGTACCATTCCATCCAGGCAAACAATGGCAAAGAAAACCATTCTCTAAGTCCGTACATGTGCCATTATTCGCACATGGATTTGATGCACATTCATCTAATTCTAATTAGAGAAGTTTGAACGTTTTTCTTTATACATTCAAATTAAACTACCTTGATTACATGTCGGTCCGGCAAAACCCGAATCACATTGACAAGTAAATGAATTTGATGTATTCGGAATGCATGTACCATGCTTATTACATACATCCGGCGTGCATACTACGTTAAGAATAAATACAATTTTTTTTTAAAGATTATCTACTATATACACTTACCTTGAGCATTTGTTAAATTAATGAAAAATGAAAAAATAATAAGAATATAAATTAACATCAAAAATGATGTTAAGCTGTTCATCGATGTCATTGTTCAAAGAATGTTTTGCTGTTTAAGAAAATGAAGAAAAAAATTGAATAAATATATGAGGATAAAATGATATGATATGATATTTTGTCTCGACAATGCATGTATTGTTCTTTTATTCTTCATTTGAATGGCTCAAATGTCAATCGATCTTTAAGAGATACGAGACGTATCATATTCATTTTAAGTTTGTAAACAGAATGGCATAGATACATCTCAGACAAGCATTACATCATATGTATATATATATAGGTGTGTATACTCTATCCTCATACTTGTCGATACAACTATGTGAGAAACAAAATATGATGACAACACTTACTCACTCAATTGGTAAGATACTGAATGAAAAAAAAAGAAAGGAAAGAGAGAGAGAGAGAAATAGATTTATATATATCATCAAATAACGACAATTGTCATTCTAATACAAATAGTGCATCTTCTATCTGCTCTACCTTGAATGCCGTCGTTGAATATTTCTTAATGAGATGCAAATGATGATAGACAGAAAGAAAGAAAAAAATCCGTTTATTGTCTCATATATGAATCAATAAACAGAAAAAGAAAGAATAGATTGAGACAACAATTCACCTTGTTTCTTAGTCGGATTATTGAATGAACATAATCATCATCAGCATATACAGACAAACACTTTTGATCTATCGTCTCATAAAATTTCTATAATAGATTAGAACGACTGTATTTGTTGAACAACAATACAAAGAAATGAATAGATGATGTTTCGTTATAAAACAAAAAAGATAGACAGACAATGATCAAATAGAATGAATCGAATAAATTTTCTATTCAAAGATAGTGTATTTTTTTTGTCTTATTTTCAATTCAAACGAAAAAAATTAGCAAATTAAATATAAACATTTCAAAAATATAGAATTCATATTAGACGATTGAAATTTTAACCTTTTCTAAAGTAATATATTTATGATAATCAGGAGTTGTATCATCGAAAAATGTTAAGAATACGAATATTTTATCAATATACATATTTTAAGTGATTGAATACTGTTTAAAGTATGATTTAATCGATATTCTACTGTATTATAAATGATTAAAATAGATGTATCGAATTTAACAGAGTTTGTATTTTTATTAGAGAAACAATAAGTTGCTACTGCCAATGTATGATCACGCCACTATAGGAGAATATAGAAAAAATCATGTCATGTAACGACTGTAACCACAACATTACTCATTTGTGTTGCATATAATTGAAATGACTCATCGACGTACAATATCATATGCAATAACACGTGACAATTTTTGTCTTCCCGAACATGACTCAGTATAATGTAATTGTGAAATAATTCTAAATGAGATATATAAATAGTTCAAGAATATTAATTATGTTTGTAGAAAGTGTGATTAATAAATAATTCAAACATGCCACAACGACAAGGAAAACGACAGGGTTTAAGAACAAATGCAACTGTACGACGAAATGAATTCGAACATAAAGCTAATCGTGGTGATTTTCTCGTTGATAAAAATAGTGAAGTTCCACTTTCTTTATCGAAATCGAATCGATGGAAATTACTTGATGATAAAGAATGTCAACTACCAATTCGAAAAATGATACCTACACATATGCAATCCAATTCAAAAAGTAGTCCATTTTGGCACGCTGGATTTCCTGGTGGACATTTTTGAGATTATGATCGAGCACGACAATATCAATCAGTGAATGGTAAAAGAAGCAACCTTGAATTAGAAGAAGAAGAGACATTCGATACATGGATTGATTTATCATTTAAAGATTATGAATATCCTTTAAAACGAGCATTATACAAAAAACATGATACACCTTGTAGATGTTGTCTTTATCGCGGTGGTGTAATACTCTTCCGTGGACGTGGTAAAAAATCATTAGGAAAGACAAAAGGCATGAAATCTTATCGACATAAAGATTGGTAAGATGAATTTAATTTATAATGAAACACTCCGATAATACAAAACACATATGGAGAATTAATATATAACTCAATTTTTGAAGCGTATTAACAATATTCATAAAAATTCAAATGTATTTTTCTGTTGTACAATAGAATCATAAATGTTTTTTTTCTTTGTAAATAAAAAATCAAGTCATGCAAAAACATTTTTCTATAAATTAAAAAGCTATTTGTGTCTATGACTACATCCTTTCACGTGTCTTTGAAAGAAGAACTGACTATTTTTAATATATTATTGTATCCCATTTTTTATACTTCAATGAAAATAATTATTCAATCTATACTGTTCCCTGTTATGCTTTACTATGAAGTAGGATGTACTTTTCGAATACAGAATATCATATTAGAAATATGAATTACACTTGAAATCGTATAATAAATATAAATTTTATTTTTTTCCAAATACGAGTTTAACTACTTAATTAACATGTACATGCACTGAACAACATGGCAAATAAAATTTAGTTTATTTAGTTCCTCATTAACGTGATTATGTAAGTGGTGCAACCACTTTACGTCGTCGCCATCTTTCAAGATGAATCTTGAAAAGAACATGAAACAACTGCCGACGAAACCGTTCAGATGTACAAATATAGATATAAAATGGACACTATAAATAAATAAAGTTCAAACAATAAATTCATGTATTTTATAATAAGTTTTAACTTACAGCGAAATATGAGAAATAGGTATAAGATGTTAAATTACTGACAAAACTAATTTGTTGAGCAATAATTGGATTTTGAGTAATAGTTGTTACTGAAGTTAGAACGAGTATAACAGGATAGGGCAATAAAGCAATAATATTGTAAATATCAAGAATAAGAACCATGACAGTTAATTGTTTGTCTAATTCACGCCGGACAAGTGGTCTTGTACGATATTCAATTCGTTGAACATTATAATAAGCCAATGTCCCAAATAAAGCAACAACAGTCACTGGTAGATATCCTGTAAAAACTGCTGTATAACAAAAAGTATAGTATTGTGAAAATACATGATTGGTTATAGTACAACTCGGCCGGACAGTAGCAGATGACGGGATTAAATTGAAATATATGAGACATGGAATACCATGAAGTATCCAAATTACAGTGGTTGTTATACATAGCCGTCGAGCTACTTTTATATTACTCCATTTTTGAAAATAAGGACGGAAGCAAGTAGCCAAAAACTGATCAATTGTTGCAAAACAAAAACATGATAATGATATAAGTGCACATACTTGACGACAATATTGTCTGAACTTACAATAAAATAATGAATCTGTTGTCCAATCAATTCCAAATCCAGTCATTACAATCAGAGGAAATAAACCACTGATGAGCTGTCCTATATTGACACATGACATGATAAGTAAATAGAATGCACATGAATTTTGTCGAAAAGTATGAAGACTCATAAAAACAATAATATTCAATACTTCACCAATAATACCTGCAATAAGAACAGGGAATCCTACATACATAGCTACGTGTTGTATATAACTGGCGTATATTGAGCTACTTGTAGTTGCCATATGTTGTTCAGCGACTAGAAATTGAAGAGTTCAAATAAAATATTGAGAAAAAATACACGTACTTTTATATTATAGTTCAAAAAAAAAGTTTTTCGGTAGACTAAACTAATAATGAAAATTATATTTTTATGCATGACTTTGTAAATCTTTTGATAAGTGATGTTACATGAATGATTAGAAATAATGAAACTTCAATAAAAAATATTAATGGCTGTAAATGTAATATGATTATCGTAGCAAGTATGATGTTAAAAAGATCAAAGTACTTCTCTTTCAGATTCATTTTATGCTTCAATGCCAAACTCAGTTTATATCAAAAATATTATAATTAGTACTTTTCTCTAGGTATATTCAGTAGTTGTTATATCGAGGTAGTTGCATATTACAAGTATCAGTATTAATATATGTACTACTAAGTGTGTAGGATGAACAAGAAATTAAATTTATAAGAGTCATTAGTGTCACAACAGAGTCTCTTATATATACTAAATTCAACAATCTTTATGACTTGTTTCGAATTTTAAATATGAATATATATTTAGTTTTATATCACACATAACTAGTTCATAATGAACATCGCTTCATTATGAGCTGACATCTCTAAAGACAACACTGTTAAATTTCAAAATGTCTAGTAGATATTCAAAGTACGACCGATATATTCTTTGAAGTACCTACTCGAGTAATTTTGATCATGTATTTATGTTCTTTTAAATGAGAATCAAATTATTTACTGCTTTTTTCCTAATGCTTCAAAGAAAGATCGTGTTCAAAGTTCGAACAGGATATAAAAAAAATTCTGGTATATGTTAGTTAATACAATGGTTTGTTTTATTGAAGAATTCAAACTACAAATAAATTTAGCTTTTAAAATCTTTCAGGATTCAATGTCATACATATCACAAGAAGATAATACGAATACAATAACTTTAATATATTAGCATCTATCAAATACAAATGCTTCTCATTGAAGTGGTAACGCCAGTACTGCAACCACTCTGCGTCGTCGCCATCTTGCAAGATGAATCTTGAAAAGAACATGAACCAGTTGCAGACGAAAACGTTCAGAAGCACATATATAAATGTAAAATGCACACTACAAATAAACATATAACAGTTAAATCTACTTTATTTCAACCTACCCCATAGTGTACGTAGTATAAAATTACAGATGAATCACTAGCGAATTGAATTTGTCGAGCGAGAACTGGATTTTGAGTACTATTAATAACTGAAGTGAGAATAAGTGTGATAGCATATGGTACTAGAGGAATGATATTGATTATATCAAGAATAAGAACCATAACAGTTAATTGTTTGTCTAATTCACGTCTAACAAGTGGTACTGTTCGATACGCAATTTGTTGTACATTATAATAAGCTAATGATCCAAATACAATAGTAATGATTATAGGAAGATAACCTAGTAGGACGACTGAATATGCATAAATAAAATATTGGTTAAATATTGTATTTGTTGGAGTGCAACTTAAAGATCCAGAAGTGGTCGATTGAATTATGTTGAAATATATAAGACATGGAATACCATGAAGTATCCAGATTATACTAGTTATTAAACATAATCGTCGAGCTACTTTTATATTACTCCATTGTTGCCAATAAACTCGAGAACAAGTTGCCAAGAACTGATCAATTGTTGCAAAACAAAAACATGATAATGATATAAGTCCACATACTTGACGACAATATGTTCTAAACTTGCAATAAAAGAGTGAACTTAATGTCCAGTCAATTCCAAATCCAGCGATCAGAATCCGAGTAAATAAACCAGTGATTAGCTGTCCTATATTGACACATGACATGATAAGTAAATAGAATGCACATGAATTTTGTCGGAAAGTATGAAGACTCATAAAAACGATAATATTCAATGTTTCACCAATAAGACCTGCAATAAGAACAGGGAATCCTACATAGATAGTTACTTGTTGTGTATAGTATGTATATATTGCGTTAGCAGCAGTCGATATTCTTGTTAAAATTAGTAGACTGAATTATAAAAGAGTAAAAAGTGTTGATAATATTATTTTCTTAAGAAAAAGCTCATGCACGATTTGACAAACGTTTTTGGTAATATATGCATTCATGTTTAAGTAACATATTCAAAAGAATACCGATATCATTAGCAGAATATCATTGTTTTCTTAACATGATATGTCGGATATTGAATTATTCTTGCGTGCTAATGTTAAACATTTGTCTTGTTTTGTTAGATGTTAAGTGAGTATGACTTTAAAATGTGTCTTGTTTTTTTCTAAATTTAAATAAAGAAATCAAAGTGACGTGGAAAGATTTATTATCTATTTATATATAATTATGCTCTATAGTTCATGTCAAGTTATTTGTTCCCGTATAAAATTAAAAATTTGTTGTATTGAGTATGTACAAAGTCTCGAGTAAGAACATACTTCGAGTACATGTTTCATATGAAAAATCAAGATCTTTTGAAACCTTTTATAAATAAATGTAAAAATATATAAATTATTTACTGTCCAAAAATGATATATTTAAACATCTGTAATAGATACAATCGATGATCATTAGTAAGAGGAAAAAAAAATACTTTTCTGTTCAAAGGAAATAGTAGACAACTAACTAAATATATAGAAAAAAAGAGCTGGTAATATTAGTAACACAGGTTTAAAGTTTCTTTTCTGCTCCTAATAATGTTGGATTAACAACACCACGTGTTGTATATAAATGTTGATCAGTTGGTGTGCCTTGTCCATAATCACCTTTAACAGTAACAACTGGTTCATTTTCGATTTTAGTCGTATGTAAAATACGATCTTTATTTTCTGTACTTTGAACAGGTATTGATAATTGATTTTTTGGTGTTTCTATAATAAAAATTAAATAAATAATATAGATGATTCAGAGATGAGAAAAAAAACGAACTGTCAAAAAGATTGTTTGATTCATTTTTAACTCGAATATAAACTTGATCAAGTATACAAGCTGATTGTTTAGGATAACATGCACTAAGTGCAACAAGAGCAGCTACGGATGAATAAAATGTTTTTCGTATAGGACCACCTTTATGACCAAGAAGAAGACCACCAAGTCCAGCAATAGTAACAACACCAACTTTAGGTAGAAAGGTTTCATCATCACGTATATAATCAATTGTAGCTAATGAAAAATAAATAAATAATACAAGATGAAAAATTATATGATAAATATACCTTTAGAATGAGCACTACCAGTTTCAATTCCACGTGCAACTCTCGAACGTAATTCCTGTCGATATAAAAATTAGCAAAAAAAACAACAATAACAAGTAATAAACCTTATTATCATTCCATGTTTGTTGAACAGATTGCCTAACTTGACTAATATATGAATAAAGCCAAGTATTATTAGTATTATTTATTTTAGGTTGTTCATCAGCTACACGTGGAACATATCGATAAATATCATCATTTTTTAAATCATAATATATTGGTAACTATATATATATATATGTAATGATTACTTTGAATTCAATCAAAGACAAAACTTACATCACGAACTCGAACAATACGAGAATTTTGTGTAGTAGAAGTTATATTATTATTGTCTGATGTTTTGGCCATTAAGCTATATTCACAAAATGATGATCTAGAATACTACACAATATTTCATTCAAAGTGTACGTTATTATATCTATCAGTCCAAAAGCCATTTCTTTTAGTCATTGAAATAGTTAACCTATCATAAATCATGACATCAAACGACATCTATACCATTCGATAACAATATATATGTACAAGAAAATATGAGAAGTAAATCATATTGTATCGATGCGTATTTCACTGCAATATTTTAATCGTACTACGATAAAAATATATATTTCTTGATGATTTACAGTCGAAAAATAGTCTCAGTTTGAGATCCTGATTTCGAAGTCTCTTACATACAACATATCGTCGTCTTAAAAAGAAAGATATTTGACCTGTATCAGTGGCGAATTTAGGGGGAGGCGGCAATCGACCCCCCTCCTCAGGTATCGCCTCTTCCTACTAAAAAATCATCCCCCCTCTTTCAAAATCCTAGATCCGCCACTGCTTTGAATCTAATTTACATATAACAAAAAAAATTTTATTTTCTAATACTGATTTATGAAACAATCTGTAAAAAAATATTGTTCAATAATTAATTGCTAATCCATAATTGTATTTGTCGTTCATTGATTAATTTGAAAGTAAAATTTTTTAAATGAGTGTGTTTTCTTAACCATTGATCGAATTCATTGTCACTATCGAAATAATATGCTAGATTATGAATAGTAATATTTTGTAAATATTTTAAATTTTCGATAAGTACTTCAAGATCTTCTTCACTATAAACATGGCAATTCATTAAATGTTCAAGATTAGGAAATGCTAAACAAAATTTTGTTCGAATTTTACTCGATATATATACACGTCGCAAATCAAGCCAACGTATTTGCGGATATTGAAAATCAATCATTTTATATAAATGATCAGGAAGTGATGATATTGTTAAACGAGTAAGACATGGTGCCATAGTAAGAAGTTGATTAAATACAAAAGGAGTGATGGTACACTCACTATCCAATTTTAAATGTACAAGTGTTGAAAAATCGTTCATATATGGTTTGATTTCACATAGATCTGAAAGTACGTAACATTCTGCGGTACGAGTATTGTGTTTCAAATTTAATGTTTTAATATTTGAAACACATTTAGAAGGAAGAATTGATACTTCATTATGTGGTAAATCGATTGATAGTGTTTCACTTAATTCAATATGTTGTTTGCAATTAACAGGCAATGTATCGGATGGTAATAAACCAATGGTAAATGTCCGATATTTGTTTTGATTATCTGTCCAGAATATCGTTTGAAAACTTTCGAGAAGTTGTTTCGTCATTGTTAATTCAGGTAAAGGAATAAGATCAATCTAAATAAATAAATAATGTTTTATAGACTTTTTTATAGGAATAAAATATGACATACTCGTAAATGAAAGATTTTAAGATGAGGTAAAAATTTTTCGATTAATAGTTGCCACCAATTTCCATCGAGCCATTGATTAAAATCCGATTGATTTCGTTCAATATGAATATTTAAATAAGTTAACATCGTACATGCTTGAATAAATCGTTCAATTTCATCTCGAAAACCATACTTAACTTTAATAGACAAATGAGTTAATGATCGAGGAACATTAAATTCTGAAATGTGATTATCGCCCGAGAATGTTGTTTTTAGACTTAAATTGAGTCGTTGTAGTTTAGGCATACAAATGAAAATGTCTGAAAGATTATCGATTGTTTGAAGATGAACTTGAAGTGTATGAAGATTTTCAGTAATAGGTAATATTTTGAAATTAAAACCCATATTTAATGGTTCATTATTTAAAATAAGAGTACGTAAATTAGATAATTGAAAGATTTTGATCAGCGCATTGTCATGTCTTTTCATATGATTATAATCGAAAGAATAAATTGTTCGAGTTTTAAAATCAATTGTCAAAGTATGAAGACATTCCATTTGTAATAAATTAGGAAAATCTTCTAAATTTCGTAATCGAAGATGTTCGAGTCGTGTAAAACTTTGATTATTAGTAAAAAATAAATCCGTTTGACCAGGAGTTTCTTCATCATCACTTACTGTAAGTGATATAATTTGATCTGGATGAATTATTTTACATATCCAATCGTATTCACGTTTACGTATTGATTGAAAATTAATTTTATAATGTTGATAACTTCGTATACATTGTCTTAAATATCGACTGAAATTATGAAATGAATGAAGAATTTCACTAGCCGTTAAATAAGTAAATACATCAAAGATAAGTTCAACTGGAAATTGATCAAGAACAAGCTGTGGTAAAGGCATATTTTATAATAAGTTTATGAATAAGGCTAGCAGCGATCGTTCGTACAATAAATACATAGCTTAAAATATGTTATTTCGCAATCAACGCCCAAGAATAAATCATATGAATACATGTGCATACCATATATGGCAAGAAATAGTTTAATAACATAAAGAATGACAAATTTTTTTCATGTCCTTATATGGAATGAAACAAACGTGACACTCATTATCTAGACATTTGTTTTTCTCTATATAGAATTGCATAGCAAATGATAAACTATGAAAGCAAATGAATCAGGTGAGATGCGTTTATGACAAAATTTATCACTTTTATTATTATAGAACAAAAAATAAAAAAAAGAGAATTAATAAACGTAACATTAACAGACAATGGATATGAAGGAAATATTTTGAAAGACATATATATCATTTTTTTTCTAGCTCCGAATACTTTTCTTATTTGTAATATAATGAAAAGTGAAACAACAATTGTATTGTACTTGAAGCCAAAACAAATAACAATGTTTTAGCTGAAAATAAATATCCTATTTTTCACAACAGTACATGAAAGAGAATAAAAAATAAGATCTATATATATAACTATTCATCGCCGAATGTGCTCATTGCATTGGGCATAATCACTGGTATGACTGTAAACAGTTCTTTTTTGATGATTTCTAGAACAAATGAATCAATGAATAGTTGTCAATTTAACAGAACAAAAAAAATCATACATATGTATATATACATAGAAAGCACGAGCATTAATGAAACGTTCAAATAGAAAACAGATTTTAAAAAAATTCATAAAATTCTACAATCAAGAAAAACACATTTTTGCATCACATTAAATCGTTTTAAAGGCTGTATATTCTCATACAATAAATATAATTTTGTTTTCTTTCTTCAATTATCATTAATCCATTTTTCGACATTTTTTCTTTTAATATTTGCTGAATTTTCTTCTGTATCTTCATTAATTGATTTTAGACGAGTTTCATCATTATCTGTAAATATTTCATCATTATTATTATTATTATTATTATTATTAATTAAAATATTTTTTGATTGTTCAAAATAATCTTGTTGTTCTATTTGACTTATTGCACTACAACCTGATGGTGTACGTGAATGTGTTTTTGAATGATGTTTTGTTGTTGTTGTTATAGATGTATCATCAATAGTTGCAGCACCATCTGATAAAGTTCGTTGATGTTTTTTATTTGTTGTTGCTGTTGTAGAATTTTTACCCATATCATATGTTCCACTTGATGCACGTGTATGTTGTTTTTTAATTGAATTAATTAATTGTTGATCAATATAAATAGTTGATGTATCAGATGTTTGTCTTGAATGTGCATAATGTGCTGGAACTTTAGGTAAAACTTTTGATAATGATTCAGTTGGAATTGTATTAACAATATGATGACGTTGTTGTTGATTCTGTTGTTGAAATGTTCGATGAAGAATTTTATAAAATTCTCGACTATTTAAACCATGTGATGGTGTTGTTGTTGCTGCTATATCATCATGATTTATTAAATTATCAATAATTTGTTTATATGCACGTTGATTTTCATTTGTTATTTCAATAATTTGTCTATAAATTGTATCAGCACCACTATAATCAAATATTCCTATAGTTGATATACGAGATATTTTATTTAAACATCGACCTAATTTTTGACGATTAAGAGTAAATATATAAGGAATATTTTGTTCTTTACATAGATTAATTATTTGTTCAATAGCATCATTAAGACCACCTTGACTTTGAATGGATTGACAATCAGGTGCAATTAAAACACATTTTAAACGTTGTAATCGTAAATGTTTAGTTACTTCACGTATACCATGAACGAAACGACGTTTACGACGTGCACGTTCAGGATTTGATTGAAATTGTTGTTTTTTACGATCTTGAAAACGTTTTAATGTTAATAATAACTGTATACATAATTCATCCAATTGACGATCAATTAATTGTGAACAATATTCACGAAAACCAGCATCATGAATTTGTTGTTTTATATTTGATTGAGGAATTTGATGAGCATAGGGTGTTTGTAATTGACTTGTAGGTTCATGATCAATTATTTCATCATCATCATCATCATCATCATCATCATCGTCCTCGTCATCATTATCATCACTTCCATTATTAGATTCTTCTGTACATGATGCACTTGTATCTTCAGTCATATTAATAGGCAACTGGCTAATAGAAGGATCATTGATGTATCTAAAACGAATACAATATATACTGTGAACTTTTTTTAAATTCTTGAAAAGTCTTGGATATGTTTAATCGGGTTTTAAATTTTATGATTCACTAGTTGATTTTTGAGTTTTTATAAAATCCTTGATTTTCGAGAATCTATGAATTAAAATTTATTTCCCAGCAAAAAACTCTATAACTTATTTTCTAGTTTACAGTGGAAACGTATATTTTTGTTTTGTATGTGTACATAACAAATAACTTACTCATCTGTATCAGCAACATTAGCATTATCATTTTCATCATTTTGTTTGATTGTTGTAGCTTTAATAAGCAATTGTTGTCGTTGTTTTTGATTTTCATCTAATTCTTTATTAATAATACGTTTAAGTTTAGTTGGTTTACGTGGTTTAGGTTGTTCGCGTTCTTTTCCACGTTTTGGTGCTGGATTTGAATCAAGTGGATTAGCAATATTCATTGGTATATTAGATGATTTATTATGAGAATTTTGTTGTTTTGTTTGTGTAGATGTATTTAAAGCATTAAACATATCTTGTAAACATATTTGATAACTATGATTAGCTTTTATTTTTGATTTAGTTATTAACCCTGGAGTGGAAGCTAAGAAGAGATGAAATTAAGAAAAAGAGAAGCATGTAGATGAAAATTTTTCTTACTATTATCTTTTATTGAAGAATTATTTTCAGATTTTTTTATTATTGGAATGGATATATCTTGTCCTAATACTGGAAATGCATTGTCATCATTAAGAGAAAATGGAATTGTTTCCGAAATTGATACTGGTTCTATTGTTGGTTCTTCAATTTTTTCATTTTTTTTTTGTTTTAAATTTTTCTTCTGTTGTTTTGTTTGAATAGGTTTATCATTTTTTTTCGTTTGCAGTTCATTTGTCTTCACATTATTATTATTATTATTATTTAATGATTGAGCAATTATTTTAGAATTATTATTATTATTATTTAATGGTTTAGTTTTTGCTTGCGTAGAAGATTTCTTAGTATTCGGTCCATTCTTCTTATTTGCCGAAGGATTTTTATCAGATTGTGATGGATCATGAGATGAATGTGGAGATGTGGATTGAGGACGTGAGGCAGAAACAACTTTATTCCAGGAAAGTGTTGATCTAAAATAAAGAGACAGTCTAATTTTAAAGAATGATTCTTTATATGGAAGCACTTAGTACAATTAAATTCGGATGTGTAGAATAAAAAATGTTTGCTTACAATTTAAACTTCGATACAAAGTACTGGAGAATAGAGACTAAGTCCCGAAATTTTTATATCAAAATATATTCATCGCGGTAAAATCTTAGTTTTATTTAATGATCTTTTATTTCGATTATTTTTCTCTTAATACTAACTGTGTATTTATTGATTGTAATGGAGTTATTTCAGATTGTTGATTAGTAATTGGAAGACTTGGAAAATCTTCTTGTCGTAGTTTAAATGGCATTTCATGAATATGATGATGATTATTTTCATTATTTGGATAATTTAAATTAACTTGTTTTTGTTCATCATGTTGCTGTATTGAACGTGGATTACCACCTCTTGTTCTTCGTTTACTATTTATTGAATTAAAATTTCGACGATTATTAAATGCACTTGATTCTTGTTGATCATAATAGGAATTTCTCTGATTATCAGAACGATATGATGATGAATGATTAACACCACGTTGTTGTTGATGATGAAATGATGAGATTGAATTCATTTTTGGTTGTTGATGTGAATAATTCATTGATGATGGTGGTAGTGGTTCTGTACAACCAATTGGATAAAATGTTGATGATTGATTATTTGTTGAATAAAATATTTGTGGATTTGGATAACATCCATTTGTTGGTACTAGTACAATTTGAGAATTATTTCCATTTGTTGATCGATGAGATTGATTATTTGAATCAATATGAAATTGTTGTGGTGTTTGTACATGAAATTCAACTTCAGGAAATTTCATTAATGGATAAAATAATGTCTGCTGTTGTTGTTGTTGTTGTTGATCGGATGAATAAACTGTTGCAATAGATTTATCATCAATATATAATGGAATACCTGTTGAAGGAGGAATTTGTATTAATGGAATAAATTCTTTAGCTTCTGGTGAAAGATCCGATGGTTGAGATGTTGTCATTATGTATTCTCTTATGAATAAATTAAATCATCAAGCAAGAAGACGAAAAAAAGATTTCTTTTACTTTGAGTTTAATGGAGGAAATAAAAAATCGAATGGGTATTGTATGGACTAGATGACAAGATGATAGATTAGAAAAATATTTAAATAGATATTCGTAAAAAAAGATAAATTCATTTTTTTAATATGAAATAAATTATTTTAATAAGTTTCGTATTACATCGATTGTAGTGACAATTAGTATTGGTTGAAATCATTCCATCAATCATATTTCATGTGATAAGTAGCATAAGTATAGAAATTCATTTTATCATTATAAACAAATATGGCTTTAGCTAGTGTACTTGGTTTTAAATCAAATGATGTATTTAATCGATCGCTTCAATGTGAAAAAACAGATACGAATATTGATGAATTTTGTCCGAAATTAAATATAGAAAATATTGCACAATTTATAACGTTGCCACCTTATGCTGATGTAAAATTTATCATTTTCTATCATGTTTAAATAGTTCAAATATCTTTTTTTTGTATTTTTAAGCCTGCAAAATATTTAAAAATGGTTAATGAAAGTGTTGATAGAGTTAAAATACAATTTCTTAAAGGTACAACAACATTAGCATTTAAATTTCGTAACGGTGTTATAGTTGCTGTGGACAGTCGTGCAACAGCTGGCGGTTTTATTGGTTTGTTTTATTAAGAGAAATGTCTTATTAGAGTTTTGTTTCTATTGATTTTTATAGCTTCGGGAGAAGTAAAAAAAGTTATTGAAATTAATCCATATTTATTGGGTACAATGGCTGGTGGTGCTGCTGATTGTGCTTTTTGGGAACGAGTACTTGCTCGACATTGTCGTATTTATGAATTACGAAATAAAGAAAAGATTTCAGTAGCAGCTGCATCAAAAATTTTAGTAAATATGATCTTTGAATATCGTAATATGGGTTTATCAATGGGTACAATGATTGTTGGTTGGGATAAACGAGTATGTTGAAGTTTCTCGTTTCTTTGTTTATTATTTTGTATTTATTAGGGTCCTGGATTATATATGGTATCAGATGATGGTGAACGCATCACTGATAATATGTTCTCAGTTGGTAGTGGTTCAATCTATGCATATAGTATTCTTGATGCTGGTTATAAGTAAATAAAATAAACTTTTCACAAATCATCATTTAAGAATTTACAATTTTTTCAGGTATGATATGAGTACTAATGATGCAATTGATCTTGCTCGTCGAGCTATTGTCCATGCTGCTCATCGTGATAGTGCTTCAGGAAACATTGTTCGAAGTAAAAGAAAACTATTTCATTCATATTCGTATTTTCATTCATTCATTCATTCATTTAGTTTATCATATGAAAGAAACTGGTTGGGAAAAAATTGAAGAAAAAGATACTAATGATTATATGTATCAATATCGTGAAGAAAAAACAATGAACTTTTAAATGAAATATACAAATTAGTTCACAATTATTCTACTTTTCCAATTAAAAAACAAAAAATCTATTTCGAACTTTTTCAGTTTTTCTTTTTGTTTCTTTATTTTATATCAATCACGAAATGTGAATAAACAAGAAAAACCAACAACATAATCTTCATACTTTCTAGATTATCATTATGTTTAAACTATGACTGAAACTAACTCAATACGTTATTGGTCTGCATTAATTATATCATCTGTTGTTTCTATTATTGTTGCTTTAGCTATTATTGGACTATGTAAGAACATTTGAAATATATATGTCTCTATTTGATTTTGTGTAGCTTGGTATTTATTGTGGAAATTTGTTTTGATTCGTTTCGGTGTGATTCGTGCTTTATTTCAACTAAATAATAACGATCAACCACAATCATCAACATCAACATCGAGACAACAACAACAACAACAAGTACCACGTCGTCAACATATTCGTCGTGAATGAATATCCCTTTTGCTCGATGTTTTTGTCTCACAACTTTTTCAGCTTTAACTTCATATCATTATGTTCGTTCTATCCATATTCAACGTGAATCATTATGTACATCAAATGAAGCATGGTATCGTTCGTTACCAATGCGTGAAACATCTCGATTTTGGTCAAGTCTTTTTTCTGTGAATATTTATCCTCGCTCACTACGAAGTCCATTCTATAAATATTTTTGTCGAATGTTTGATGGTGATATTAATGAATGTGAACATGGTCCTGATAATCTTGGTTATTATGCAAATTTTGGTGAATTTTTTCGAAGAAATCTAAAAGAAGGTGTTCGTCCAATTGATAAAGAAAGTGCAATTGTATCACCATGTGATGGTGAAGTACTTGCCAATGGTTTGGTAACATCTGTTGAACAACTGAATATAGTTGTGAAAGGTATTCCATATACAATAAAAGATTTGTTTCAATTTGATCAAAGTGAAATAGAACGTTTACAAAGCAAACAAAGTGAATCATCACTTTTTTATGCTTGTATTTATTTGAATCCAGGAAATTATCATCATTTTCATAGTCCAGCAAAATGGAAAATAAGTGAACGTCGACATATAACAGGTACATATTTATATCAAACTACTGATTTGCTATTATATTATTACTTTTTCTCTTTTCCAAAAAA